TGGAAGAGACCTCAGAAGGTCATCAAGTCCAGTCCCTGCTCTAGGCAGGACCAATCCCAACTAAATCAACCCGGCCAGGGCTTTGTCAAGCCGAGACTTAAACACCTCTAGGGATGGAGATGTGGTGAAGGCTAGGACTTGAACAGGGTTCAAAAAAGAGCTAGATAGATTCATGGAGGTTAGGCCCAGCAATGGCTGTTAGCCAGGATGGGTAGGAATGGTGTCCCTAGCCTCTGTTTATCTGGAGATAGGTGACAGGGGAGGGATTATGTGAGGATTACCTCTTGTGTTCCCTCCCTCTGGGGCATCTGGTATTGGCCATTGTTGGGAGACAGGTTACTGGACTAGATGGACCGTTGGTCTGACCCAGTATGGCTGTTCTTATTCATCTTGCTGAATTCAGATCAATTCTCCAATTTGTCAAGGTCATTTTGAATTTTAAGTCTGTCTTTCAAAGTGCTTGCAGCCCCTCCCAAGTTGGTGTCACCGGCAAAGTTTATAAGCGTACTCTCCACTCCAAGTCATTCATTAAAATATTGAATAGTTCTAACCACTGCATGACCCCCCATTACATATGCCCTACCAACATGACAGCAAACCACTGCTAACTACTTCTTCAGGACAGTCCTCCAACCACCCCATCTTATAGTAAATTTACTTACACCACATTTGCTTATCAAATCGTCATGTGGGGGCTATGTCTAAAGCCTTCCTGAAATCAAGATATAGCACATCTACAGCTTCCCCCCCCCCACCTTCAGTAGGTCAATTATCCTATCAAAGAAGGACATTAAGTTGGTTGGCCGGATTTGGTTGGACAAATCCATGCTGGCTATTCCTTACAATCCTATTATCTTCCAGGTGTTCACAAACGGATTATTTAATAATTTGCTCCAGATCTGTGCAGGTGATGACGTTTTACTGATAGATCTGTAATGCCCTGGTCCCTCCTTGTTCCCCTTCCTAAAGAGAAGTGCTATATTTACCCTTCTCCAGGCTCCTGGGAGCACACTCATCCTCTTACAGTTCTAAAAGGTAATTGCTATGGGTCCTTCAGCTAGGTCCTTAAGGACCCTCGGATGAATTTCATTAGGCCCTGCTGCCTTGAATACATCTAACTTCTTTAACCTGTCCTTTCCCTATTTTGGCATGTGTTCTTGCCCCAGCTGTCAACATTAATTGTGCTGAGTATCTGGTTATCATTAACATTAATTATCTTTCTCTTGCTCCTAGTGGATTTGTAGAAACTCTTCTTATTGCATTTTATGTCCCTTGCTGGGTATACTTGGCCCATATTTCAGTCGAACAGCACTGTGTCTGTAAGGGAGCTGAGAATGGGCACGTAGCCCAGAGAACAGACAAGAGGAGGTTCTGGGAATGGGGAGGAGCAGTTTATATCACAGATAGATCCCTTAGACCAAGAGAGCCGAGACAGGGCATGCTTTGGGAATGCCACAAACACTGAGATCAGGGTGGGAGATGCAGAATAAACAGCATCCGGGCAGACAACAGCCTTGCACCCCAGAGCAGGGTGGAGAATTGAGGACAAGCAGTCTCCGTGTATGCCACAGACATTGAGGCCTGAGACAGACACATTCTGGAAGTTTCCTTCCCCCATGGTCCTGCTGCTTGGGGGGGAGGAGGAGGGAGAGAAGAGCTCCTTCCCCATCCACAGCTCTTCTTTTCCCCATGCCCCTGAAAGCTGCACTGGCCGCAGGAATGTTCGGCAGCATATGAGATGGGTCCATTCCTAGCTCCAGTCTCTCCATTCATAGGAATGAGTCTCTTCTTTGGGTCAGCTCCCGTTTTTTTTAAAGAATTCCTCCGCCCCAAGAATCGAGCATGATTTTGGGCCCACAGATGAAACATCTGAGAGCAAGCCCCACAGCAGCACTGGTTCCCTCTGAATGTTTGCTTTGCCTGAGCAACATGCAAAAACAAGCGCGAATCTGCTTCTTCCACCTCTGCCTCCCGTTGTGGTGCTGCAGCGTGGTTGCCAGGCACTGCTTTCACCGCCCGTGCGATGTGAGGAAACTCACCAGCAAGGTACACGGCCCGACCAGGTGATGACCTCCGGCCACACTTCAGTGCAGTCACTGAGGAGAAAGTTTGCAGTGTTCAAGGTATCCTTTGAATTTGATATCACCTTCAAATGCTGCTTTGGTAAAAGTGCAAACACAGCGGGGCCTCCGGCCAGCTTGTGTTTGTATGTTTCCCTGGTGTACGCTCTCGCCAGATTGGATAGATTCGTCATTTGCATCATTGTCGCCAGCAATAGGAGTGTGCTGACATTTCAGTGTGAGGATAGTTTTCAGCGGCTCTCCGGTAGTTTTGCGCTTGGCAGTGTCCTTGCACACCATCTGCAGATGTATCCCGAGTGCAATAATAGCTGACGCTGGTTCATCAGAAGCCGGTAGCATAACCATTGACAATGTGTTGCTCTTCTGGGTCTTTCTTAGAGATCTATCCAAGTTGAGGAGGGAAAGTGGGACAGATGCCAGTTCACACATCGTCACATGCTGGATATCAACATTTCTGGGACCGACAATAACTCTCAGCTTGCTGACTATCTGACAATCAAGAGTCCTCGCTTGTGCTGACTGCTTCTCCTTTGGTTCACTTGGTTTGTTGAGACTACCAAGTGACTTGAGATTATGCCTTTTTATGGACTCAGAGCGGCCTACCTCTCCCCTTCGCAACCTCTTGGTTCCGAGCAGTTTCATTTCTTGTACGTCACGCTCTCTTGCCACGTGTACACCTCCTGCACTTTCAGAGGAGGACACTAGAGATGCAGTGTTCACAAGTGGCCGTCTGCGGCGGGGGCTCGTTCCAGGTTCTGTGCTAAAAGGATGTGTTGTTCTTTTAGCCACAAAACGTAGTACCTTGGACAGCGATTCCATCGGCCGCCACGTGCTTTGCTGTAGCTTCTTGGTGGAGATGGAAGGCTGCATGCCACACCTTTGTTTTGTCCTACCTCTGAGAGCCACCTTAAAATGTGCACTCCGGTAATCCTGGGGCAGCACCTTCTTTTTTGTGCAAAGATACTGATGATTCCTACAGTCCTACATAGCTTACTGCACTGAAGAGCAACAGTCTGATGCACTGCTCCCTATCGGCTTGGGCATGATATCTATCTGGCTTCTTCTCCTCCAGAAATCTGGCTCCTGCTACATTCAAACAACCCTTCTTAGCTTAATTCATATGACCATGCTGCCATAGTGAGATCTTCTCCGCAAATGTCTCAAGCTCCATGGATTTATCGCCGCCTTTCTTTGCTGCTTTGTAATCCATCCATTGCTGGGAGCAACGTGTGACCTAGTTTTCCCAGGATGGAAATGTATCTGAACAGGCTTTGAGTTGGGTAACGTACGTGTCCATGAGCTGGTGCAGTGCTTGGGTGTGTTTATCAAGTCTACTAGAGCATTCGGTGCTTCCACTCTGCTTTCTCTGTGAGCCTGCTCCATGTCTTCAAGAACTTCAGTACATTTTTGAGCTTTCGCCAAGATGTCGCTTCTTGTCTTCACGGAATTGCCAATGGCCACCAACTTCCAGTGAGTCATTGCCTCATAAGTTTGTGGGTCCTAATGCCACGGTTGTGGCTGAAGTCCCACAGATGCTGGCTTCCTCAAAGAGATCTTCAAATCCACTTTCCTGCATCTCACTTCTTGTAGCACCCATGAAACTGGCTGTATTTCCTCCCCTCTCAGGTCATCATCAAACCTGTGTTGATGCTTCCATTCAATCAACCGTGCTTTTCAGTAGATTGCTTCACCCCACACAACTTAGGTCCAGTGTTGGCCCAGAGAGCAGAACGTTTCCTTGAAAATGGTTCAACTTGGTGTACACTGAGTCAACATCAATTGACAGTGGAGGAATCATTGGACAGTAGCCAATACTCATAAACTAGCAGGCAGAAAAACTTTTCTACAAATAATGACAAATATTTAGATGTATTATGTGGACAAACAAGCTCATACTGTCATGTGACCACAGACGTTTGCTTTAATCAAAGGCAAAAAAGTTCAGGAAAATGTGTCACACATCACAGGGGGCAAAGTATTTCCCAAACTTTCCAAAACAGTACTAGTTGGAGTACATAGTTGCCTTATCAATTGTATTTAGAAGCTTTCTGCCAAAGTTGGTCAAAATCAAGTTGTGTTTCTTCATGGTATGACCCTTTTTGTGATTTGTATGGGTTTTTTGGTTTAGATTGTGACCTAGAAAAACTGCGCCACTTCCAGCATCTATGTCTGTGCTGGCAATGACCACCAGGAAATGAATGATTTTCAGCTGGGGGGTTACCCTAATCCATTAACGAGAACCTTTTTTGGAATCTGAAACTTGTAAAATGAGGCCAGGCTGTGATATTGGAAGGAGGGGGTGAAAACATTCCTAGGCTCATCCTTAGGAGAGGATGGATGAGCTGGTGGTTAGGATGCAAGACGGGGACTCAGCAGCCCCCATCTTCAGCTCTGGGTTCTGCTACAAATTTCCTGTGTGGACATTACAGAGACCCAGCTCCTAAAAGGTGTTTCACTCTCAGGGACATCAATGGGAATAAGGCATCTAAATATCTCGAGGATCTGAGCCTCCGTATCCACGCTGCATAATGGGAAAAATAGCACTGCCTTGCTTCCCAGGGATGCTGTAAAGATAAATACATTACAGAGCATGTGGCGCTCATATACCAGGGTCACAAGGGCCAGATATTAGATTTTTCTCTTTTGAGAGAGCAGCATTGTTACACCACATCCTTGGAGACAGGGCAGGCTATGCTCTAGTAAGACAAAATCTCTGTTAATCAAGGGCTGAATTTCCCAACCCCCCCCCCCCCCCCCGCCCC